ATTCACTCGTGGCTGTCTCCTCAGGCTCCGACCGAGGAGGTCGACGTGGGGGCGGGCCGCTTTCGCGATGCGATTACGCATGTATGCGATGCGGCCATGCCCCGCGTTCGAGGTCGTCGGCCTCCAAGGAAGGAGGTCTACTGGTGGTCCCAGGAGCTGGCGGACCTCCGTGCGGCCTGTACACGTGCCCGGAGGTCCTACACACGCAGTCGGCGGCGTCACCGTGGAGACGGTGAGGAGGACCGGCTTCATGAGGAGTACCGGCGGGCGCGGAAAACTCTGAAGCTGGCCATTAGCCGCGCCAAAGAGGAAAAGAGACAGGAGATGCTGGAGGGTCTTAATCGTGACCCCTGGGGTCGCCCTTACCGCGCGGTGCGACAAAAGCTCCGCGCGTCGGGCCCCCCCCTTACGGAGACTCTCCAGCCCAGCTTCCTGCGAGAAGTGGTTGAGGGCCTTTTCCCACAACGAGCGGAACACACTCCCCCGTCGATGGCCTCCCTGGCCGGAGACGACGGGGAGCACGGGGAGGACAATGTTCCGCCCGTCCGGGATTCGGAGGTAGGGGCGGCTGTTCTACGGATCCGTTCCAAGAACACCGCCCCTGGGCCAGACGGGGTACCGGCCCGAGTGCTGGCCCTGGCCCTCAACCACATGGCAGACCGCCTCGGGGAGGTGTTCGACGCTAGCTTGGCGTCGGGACGCTTCCCTGAGTGCTGGAAAAGCGGGAAGCTGGTCCTATTGAGGAAGCCGGGACGGCCAGCCGATTCGGTCGCGGCCTATAGGCCCATCGTGCTGCTGGACGAGGCGGGCAAATTGTTTGAGAGGGTTCTTTCTGCCCGCATCGTCCGGCACCTCTGCGAAGTGGGCCCCGATCTGTCGGACGCCCAGTTTGGTTTTCGGGCGGGGCGTTCGACAGTCGACGCCGTGTTGCGCCTGAGGGCCGTGACCGAAGAGGCCGTGAGCTGTGGCGGCGTGCTGTTGGCGGTGTCACTGGACATCGCCAACGCATTCAATAGTCTGCCATTCAGCTGCATCAGGGAAGCACTCCACTATCATGGGGTGCCAAAGTACCTGAGGCGGCTAGTGGCAGACTATTTAGAGGAGCGTACCGTCGTGTACGAGGACCGAGAAGGTAATCTGAGGTGTCGGCCCATGTCGTGCGGTGTTCCACAGGGGTCTGTTCTTGGACCCCTCTTGTGGAACATAGGGTACGACTGGGCCCTTCGCGCCGATTTCCCCCCCGGGCTGGGTGTAATCTGTTACGCAGACGATACCCTCGTGACAGCCCGGGGGGCAAACTTCCAAGAGGCGGCGCGCCTGGCCACAGGGGGAGTCTCCCTGGTGGTCGGGCGCATTGAGGCGCTGGGCTTACGGGTGGCCCTAGATAAGACGGAGGCCCTGTTATTCCATGGGCCCCGTCGTGGTCCACCCCCTGGCGCCTCAATCGTGGTCAACTCGGTCCTCGTACCGGTTCGGGCCCAGATGAAATATCTGGGCCTGATCCTCGACGGGAGGTGGCTCTTCGACGAGCACTTCCGACAGCTTGCTCCAAAGCTGGTCGGCGCTGCGTCTGCCCTAGGGCGACTTTTGCCCAATATGGGTGGACCCAGCGTCGCGACAAGACGGCTGTACACGGGGGTTGTCCGGTCAATGGCACTGTACGGTGCACCGGTGTGGGCGGCGGCTCTGACCGCCCAGAATAGGGTACGCCTCTGGCGCCCTCAGAGGGTAATGGCGGTCAGAGCCATACGCGGTTACCGCACCGTTTCGACGGATGTGGCGTGCGCGTTGGCCGGAACTCCCCCGTGGGATTTGGAGGCGGAAGTGCTCGCCGAAGTATATCGGCGAGTGGCTGACTACCGGGCGGAGAGCGGATTTCGCCCTCCGCCCGAGGATGTGCGCGAGTGGCGCGAAGCCGCTCGCCGAGCCACGATGGCTCGTTGGTCGTTCCGGCTGGAGACTCCACGCGCTGGCTTCGCCGCCGTGGAGGCTCTCCAGCCGGTCATCGCCGAGTGGGCAGGGCGGCAGCACGGGACCCTTTCCTTCCGACTGACGCAGGTGCTTTCCGGGCACGGTTGCTTCGGAAAGTACCTGCACACGGTCGCTAGGAGGGAACTGAGTCCCGCCTGCCACCACTGCGACTGCAGTGAGGACTCGGCCCAGCACACGCTGGCGGTCTGCCCCGCATGGGCGGCGCAGCGCCGGGCCCTCACTGCAGTCATCGGAGTGGATCTCTCGCTACCGGCCGTAGTACGCTCCATGGCCGGTAGCGACAGTTGTTTTACCGCGGTCGCAACCTTCTGCGAGGTAGTAATCTCGCGGAAGGAGGCGGCGGAAAGGGCCCGGGAGGACGACCTCCACTCGGACCCGATCCGCCGCCGGCGAACCGGGCGGCGGAGGCCCGCCTACCACAGCCTCATGCCGCCCTGAGTGTGGCCGCGGGTGGACGGGGTGGGTTTCCCCTCCACCCGCATTAGTTGGCCAGCCGCGAGGGGGCGGCGTCCGCGTGTGCCGGACGTCGCCTAAAGAGAGGAACATCCACATTGAGACGGAGCCCGCACCAGGAGCGGGCTGGCGCTAGGAGGGGTCCGGATGTCTTAACAACAGCTGTTCCCGGATCCCTCCTGTTACAGGCGCAGAGTGGCACACCGTGTGGTTTTAGTCGGTCCGAGTCCGACACACCACCCCGCCGCAAACCCCGGAGGGGTGACGGTCCGAGGGGATTTCCACACGTTAAAAAAAAAAAAAAAAAAAAAGGTACAACTTTTTGCGTCTAAGAATCGTGTTGCACCAATAAAGCCCACTACGATTCCTCGTCTTGACCTTTGTGGGGCGTTGTTGGGAGCAAGGCTGTGTGCTAAGGTACTGAGTTCGATTACTCTATCTATTACTAGTTGCCAGTTTTGGAGTGATTCAACAATAGTGTTGAGTTGGTTGGCAATGTCACCGAGCCTACTAAAACCTTTCGTGCGTAATCGTGTTAATGAGATTCAGGAGAGCACAACAGGGCATACGTGGAGTTACGTCCCGTCTAAAGACAATCCAGCGGATCTTGTTTCTCGTGGGCTGAAGGCTGACCTTATCAGCGAGTGTTCCTTGTGGTGGTCAGGCCCTCAATTTTTATTAAATCATAAAGAGGACTGGCTAGTCATGCCCAACAGAAGCGTGAAACAGGATCTACCAGAAGTCATTGCATCCAACTTCATTGATCATTCATATTTAACACAGTCGAAAAAACACGTACATTCATCTCTCACAAATCCATCAGTCATTCAGTCATTAATTCATAAATACTCAAACATAAATCGGTTACAAAGGATAGTAGCATATATTCATAGATTCATATACAATTTAAGAAACCCCAACTCTAAAGTCACAGGTCCTCTTTCTATTAAGGAACTTAAAAATGCCTTATCTGTACTCTTACGTGTAGTTCAATCTGAAATGTTTCCAGATGAGTACACTATACTGCGATCGGGGAAGTCATTGCCACGCAAGAACAGACTTATTTCTTTGACTCCCTTTCTAGATAAGGACAAGATTATTCGTGTAGGTGGCAGATTGAACAACTCCCCATATGAATATGGGGTAAAGCAACCAATTTACTTTGCGGCAAACATCATTTTACTAAAATGTTATTCGAAATGCAACATAGAATTTTACTTCATGCCGGTCCTCAACTATTGTTAACAAATATCCGTCAAATGTATTGGCCTCTTGGCGGTAGAAACCTGTCTAAATCTATAGTAAAACGTTGCATAGAATGTTTTAGATATAAAACCAATCATGGGACAGTTGCCCTCTGATAGAACTCATTTAGAGTTTCCATTTTTTAATTGCAGTGTCGATTATGCCGGGCCGGTGCAAGCTTTCGAAAGCATATATATGCATCTTTGTTTGTCTGGCAGTCAAGGCTGTCCATATCGAGCTCGTTACAGACCTTACTAAAGAGGGTTATATGGCAGCTCTAAACCGTTTTGTTGCACGTCGTGGCAAACCCAAGAGCATCTTGTCCGATAATGGTACGAATTTTGTCGGCACCTGTAATGAATTGCATAAGTTTTTACAAAACTCTAATATCTCGTATGAAGTTTCACAGAAAGGCATCGAATTTAATTTCGCCCCTCCGTACTCACCGCATTTCAACGGTATTGCTGAGGCTGCTGTTCGATCCACAAAGCATCACTTGAAGAGATTACTAGGACTAACCCATTTCACATACGAGGAAATGATCACATGTTTGTCTCAGATTGAAGCTGTCCTTAATTCTCGTCCCCTTACTCCGTTTTCCTCTGATCCATTAGATTTTACCGCCCTTACTCCTTCTCATTTTTTAATTGGACGATCACTTATGACGGTTCCGCATCCACAGGTGGCTGAGACTAGCATCAGTCGTTTGGAGCGCAACCACAGAGTGGAGCACATTAAGCAACATTTTTGGAAGCGGTTCCACTTAGAGTATGTTTCTCTGCTCCAGCAAAAGACAAGGTGGCCTACATCAACGGGACAACTTTTAGAAGGAACTTTGGTTCTCGTGAGAGAGCGGGGACAACCGCCGTTGCTGTGGCCACTCGGACGTGTCACTAAAGTCTTTCCGGGAAGCGACGGAACTGCACGGGTGGTCGAGCTGAAGACGAAGAAAGGGACGCTTCTGCGATCATTTAACAATATTTGTCCACTTCCTCTAGATTGAAGTCTTCAACCCGGGGAGTATGTTCACGCACCCAGCGCATGAATCGTGCCCCTCGCAGGAAGGCGCGCGGAGGGGCGGTGTGACCGACGGCGACGGTCGCGAGCTGTCTCTAACTCACTCCACTACCGAACGACGAGCGACGCGCGTGCTTAAGTTAACCAACATTGTACTGCCTTCATTTTTATTATATTGTTATACAGTCCACCACAGTTCTTTAACCAAAGAAGAAGCCTAAACAATCAGCAATCATGCAGAACGAGTAGACTGGGGAAAGCCGGCGGGGGTAGTCTCGAAACGCTTCACCGATATGGCTGTTCGAGCAGCAGTCGAATGCCTAGGCGTGCGCGGGGAGGGCAAGACTGCAAGGGGCTACGAATGGTGGTCTCCGGCTCTGGAGGCCCTACACAGGAGTAATAATAAAGCGAGAAAGGATTGGCAAAGACAAAAGAGACGAGGGATTGGAAACAACAGGCCAGGAAAGACTATCACACGAAGCGTAGGAGCTACAGAGAGGCGATGGAGAAGGCGCAGCTCGAATTCTTCCGGGAACTTGCGAATTTCGGTAACAGGGACTCATGGGGACTTGCATATAGAGCAGCGAGCGGCAGAGTACGCCCGCTGCCGAATACAATTAACGGTGTGGTGCTCCTGGGGAGTAGTACCCTGGATGTGAAGAGCTCAATGCAGGGTATTATGTAGGCTCTATGCCCAGACGACGATCTAGGGCGAGATTCAGGCTACCATCGCCAGGTTCGGATCGCGGCGGCTTGTCTGCCGTCAGGTTGAGATGCGCCTCCTTCATCGCTTCAGCAAGTCGAGAAAATAGTCAGGGATCTCCAGAACCCTCGGTATCGATGGAGTTACAGCCCGCATGTTGAAAATGTGTGGCACGCGGCTGGCTCCGAGCTGACGCGAGTTTTCGGAAAGTGCGTTACGGAGGGCGTTTTTCCCGATGCGTGGAAGGACGGGCGGCTCATCATCTTGCCGAAGGGCAACGATAGGCCACTGTCCGATCCTAAAGCGTATCGCCCCGTAACGCTACTCTCGGTACTAGGTAAAACCCTCGAGCGGGTTATGCTTGCTTGCGCGCCTTCCATCTCGCGCGGTATCTCGGCGGGGCAGCACGGGTTCTCTCGGGGTAAGTCGACGTTAACGGCGTTAAATGAGGTTCTGACGTCAGTGTCTGAGAGTCGGTCTAAGTATGTACAGGGAATATTCTTGGATATCTCGGGCGCCTTTGATAATGCGTGGTGGCCAATGATCCTACTTAAAGTAAGGGGGGGGGGGGGGGGGCTGTCCGCCTAACATCTACAGAATGCTCACCTCCTACTTTACTGACAGGCGTGTAGGCTTGAACCGGTACGAGGACCGAATCGACCACGATGGAGGCCGCCACGACGGGGCCCATGGAACAATAGGGCCTCCGTCTTGTCCAGGACCACCCATAAGCCCAGCACCTCAATGCGCCCGACCACCAAAGAGACTGCCCTGGTGGCTAGGCGCGCGGTCTCTTCAAATTCCACCCCACATTCAATTCCGGGCAATAACCAGAAGAGGTCAAACAATTTATCCTATCCATCAAATCCAACGCCACTGGTTGTGATGAAATAAGCCGTTTTATGGTAACCGCTATCCTGGAACAGCTTTTACCAGCCATTACTTATGTGATCAATTATTCCCTTGATTCCAATGTCTTTCCATCCTTATGGCGCAAAGCTTACGTACGTCCATTAGCCAAAGTACCTAACCCTTCTCTTCCTACCCACTTTCGTCCAATATCCATACTTCCATTTCTCTCCAAAGTCCTAGAAGCCTGCGTACATAAGCAACTTTCAAACTTCATTTACGGGAATAATTTGCTCAACCCATATCAGTCAGGATTTCAACCGGGACACAGTACAGAGACAGCGTTGCTCAAAGTGACTCTCGATATCAAAGCGGCGGTGGAGGAAGGCAAAATAACTGTACTAGCCCTAATCGACTTCTCGAACGCCTTCAATACTGTGAGTCACGATATCCTACTAGCAATACTAACCCACTTCATGATTTCCGATGATACACTGGAATGGTTCTCGTCCTATCTTCGAGGACGCCAGCAGTCCGTCCGAACCGATGAATCTTCATCGATATGGGCCGAACTCGACTCTGGTGTTCCACAAGGCGGTATTCTTTCTCCTCTTCTGTTTTCTTTATTTATCGATCTCATAACCCATGAACTTCGGTGTTCGTATCACTTGTATGCAGACGACCTGCAGATCTATTCACATGCAAGAGTAGAAAATTTGGACGAAGCTGTAAATAGTATTAATCAAGACTTAGAGACTATAAAAAACTGGTCCTGCAGGTTCGGTTTAACGGTGAACCCATCAAAATGCCAAGCGATCATCATAGGAAGTCCGAGAATGACAAACAGAATTGATCTTGATAATATTACTGGCATCATCTTTAATGACACCGTTTTGCCTGTTAGTACATCGGTCAAGGATCTCGGTCTGCACATCGATGCGACTCTGAACTGGCAAACTCAGGTAACTAGTGTCAGTCAGAGGGTTACGAATATTTTACGAGGATTCTATCGCCTTAAAAATTTCCTCCCAATAAAAACAAAGACGATGCTTGTGCAGAGTTTAATTTTTCCACTTATCGACTATGGTAATGTGTGTTATCTCGACTTGAATGCAGATCTTCTCAATAAATTAGACCGACTTCTCAACAATTGCATTCGATTCATTTTCAACCTGCGAAAATACGATCACATATCCGCTTGCCGTACGCAACTGTCATGGTTACCTATAAGACAGCGCCGCAGTTCGAGAGCTCTGACTGTGTTACACTCTCTTCTCCACTCATCTAACTCACCTACCTACTTGAAATCCCACTTTCAATATCTCTGCTCTACTCTACTCTTCGCTCTTTCAACAATCTTCTCCTTTTTTGTCCTTCAAATAATTCGAGTATGGTCCATTCTTCCTTCCCTGTTCAAGCTGTAACTCTTTGGAACACACTCCCACTAGAAATCAGGATGTCCACTAACCGATACACTTTTAAGCTTAAATTACGGAAGCTCTATAGAGACTTGTTGACGGAGTCATCAGAATAACACCCTAAGAGTATATTTATTATCATATATATTATAATATAAACTCGTACATATTTTTTGTCATTTATTATGATATTTATGTGTATAAACTATATGTATGTATATCTAGTACTTATATATCTGTAGGATTTGTTCTTTTCTGCTATTGTAACATGGCTTCATTGCCAGATGAGACTCATCTTTACCTGTCCCAAATATACACTTGCCACACACAGCTTTGCAACACCCAAAGGTTTGACTGGAAGAAAATGCCTGAGGCATTAAGTCCGCCTTATGCAATATGTTTGCAGGAAGACTCAATAAATAAATAAATAAATCATCGTAACAAATATTGCCCAGCTCGGGGGGGGAGGCGACCTCAATGGGCCCAGTCGTAACCAGTGTTCCATAGGAGTGGTCCAAGAACAGTAGGGGTCTGTCTGCGGAACACCGCACGTCATGGGCCGACGCCTCAAAGAACCATCTTGGTCTTCGTACATGACGGTGCGCTCCTCTAAATAGTCTGCCACCAGCCGCCTCAGGTACTCTGGCACCCAATGATAGTGGAGTGCTTCCCTGATACAGCTGAATGGCAGACTATTGAATCCGTTGGTGATGTCCAACGACACCGCCAACAGGACGCCGCCACGGTGCACTGCCTCTTCGGCCACGGTCCTAAGGCGCAACACAGCGTCGACCGTCGAACGCCCCGCTCGGGAACCGAATTGGGCGTCCGACAGATCGGGGCCCATCTCACAGAATGGCCGGACGATGCGGGCAGAGAGAATTCTCTCAAACAATTTACCCGCGTCGTCCAGCAACACGATGATTACACGATAATTATGGGTGATATAAATATTAATTTGCTAGAAATTGTTAATACTAAAAAGAAAAAAAAACACGAATTCTTCAAAAATGTTAAATTGACTCAAGTTGTAGATTCCCTCACTCACTATACAAATACTAGTCGAACACTTACCGATGTGATTTGTACTGATACCCGTACCCGTAATGTAACTTGGGCATCACGCATTCCTTACTTGCGAGGTTCGTTTAAAAAGGGAAAAGATGCCTGCACGACATGTGGTTTATCGTCCCCTAAAGGACTATTTTACTGCTAATTTGGACTCCATACCATGGAGATCGTTGTCAAGCACGTATGACGTCAATGAGATGGTACAGTCATTTAACTCTTGTATAACACAAATATTTCATATTCACGCACCTTTAAAAACAAACATAATTAAAACGCGTCCTACTCCATGGATTACTGATAATATTCGGTTCATGATCGGGTTTAGAGATAAGGCTATCACAGAACTAAGCTTGAGTCAAATAAATTGTATTATAAAGATCTGAAGAGGCTAACATCCCGCCGCTATGTTGAACGAAAAAAGGGCGTATTTTGCACAAAGAATAAACAATAAAATAAATGATCCTAAAGTTCTCTGGGCCAATCTTTTCAATCTGTATTATTACCTATAAAGAATACTCACCTACCAAGCTTTTTCAGTGATCCAGATAAAATTAATTATGTATTTCTTCAAGTTCCTGGTCAGTGGAAATAAGTATATCAGATCTTACCTATTATAAATTTCACAGACACTCTCAGGCCAAGTTTTCGTTGAGGACAGTGAATGAGCAATATATTCTTAAAATACTACCACAGTTAAAATCTGAAGCTTAAGGTGTGGATGGTATATCGCTCGATATGTTGACTCTTAGTTTGCCTCAGTCACTAAAGATCATCACGCTGGTTATAAACAGATCTATTGAAAGTCATACATTTCCGCACTTATGGCGACTGGCTGTAGTCCGACCAATACCAAAATGCTCCGATCCGCAGAGTATTAAGGACTTACGTCATATTAGTATTCTACCATGTATGTCAAAGATTCTAGAAAGGGTAGTTTACATACAAGTATGTGAATAATTTGCTTCCAGAACTTCAGTCAGGGTTCTGTAAGAAACATAGTACATGCACCCCTTGTTAGATGTTGTGGATAATATTTTAGATGGTCGTCACAAGGGTAAAGGTACGTTATTAGCCCTTTTAGACTTTTCCCGTGCATTTGACTGCATTAATACATCGCTGATGCTATCAAAGCTTTCCTACTATGGCTATGACGTAGGCACGGTGAAATGGTTCGAGAGCTATTTGTCTAATCGAGCGCAGGTTGTGAAAGTTACTAGAGATGATGGAAGCAAAATTTACTCTTCCCCTCGCTCCTTATCGAGGGGTGTGCATCAAGGGTCTATTTTGGGCCCTCTTTTATTTATTCTGTACAGTGCTGACGTCACAGATTGTTTTAAATTTTCTAAATACCATATATACGCTGATGACATACAAATATATGTGACTTTTGAGCCTACGCTAGCCTCGACTCTAACAGCTGTACAAGCAATAAATAAGGACCTGGACAGAAGATTTAAATGGGCCCAAACGAACGCTCTAGTTTTAAATCCTCTGAAATCTAAGTACATGGTTTTAGGTAGTGAATTGGTAGTCACATTGATAGGATTACAGCTGCAGGTTCTCGGATTATGGTTGAGGGCAAATTAATAGATAGACTGTTCGAGGCTCGCAACCTGGG